GAAAAGAGCTATATTAAATTGTAATAATATCTCACAATATTACTTTTTACTGTTTTTTTTATTAAATAAATACAGCCTTGGTGAACATTAGAGACTTCTTTCAAAAAGACAAAAATATTACTCACCCCAAACCTTTCAACAAAAATGTTCTATTAGGTATCTAAAGGTAACATTTTACCAGCACTACCTCAATTAATATTTCAATTTCTCCTCCAGAAATATGGTTTTAACTCAAATTAAATGAAACATTACAGTGAAAAAGTAAATAAATACACACACTCCTCATTTTTTTGCAGCCTACCAGGGGGTGCCATCATAGCCAGGCTCCTGGATATCGGTAAAGAATCGTGCGTGGCCTGTGGGATATTGTTGAAGACGAGAGGTCATGATGACGAAGTGCATATCTGCCCTACCCCTCGCTGCACAGGCTGGTTTTCTTGCTCTAAAGAATTAATTTTAGATCATCTTTAACTGGCAAAAAGAAATAGACTATTAGACCAACCTGTTGGACAAAATGATTTCTTTTCACAGGCCATTACTGCTCGCTGTGTTTCAGACTGATGGGGAAGCTCTGTGCTTTCTGTACGGCACCCCTCACATTCCACGAGGACCAAGAGCTGTATGTCACTTGACAGAACAATGACAGACACTTTAAACAATATTTTTGGAATGAATATAACTTAAGTTAACCTGATAATACCAATAAAGACACTGTCACTGTAAGCACACTTTTTTCCACAAGGACGAAACAGTCTTGTTTGTGGAATCGTCAGGTAAAAGGTGTTGAGGCCATATTATATATTATATAATTATTTACTAAAGAAACAGAATTATAATCATGCAAGAACATATTTTGTATACACTATATAAACCAATTGTGCAGTTAGATCATTATTCAGATTAGCTTTTATTTTGCCATTTTGAAAATGAACAGTAAAGTTCTACACATTAATGCTTACATTTGTGAGTTTCAGAGATTCCAGTGATGAGGAGCAAGCCAGTTTATGGGAGACCACTGTAACATCACCCCAGCCTGGCCAGAGCACAGGAGAGAAAAGAGGAAAAGAGAGGAAAGGAATAACGATCAGGTGTCCAGAGTAACTGAGCAGCTTTGTCACATATTTTTGAGTTAAACAGATGCATAGGCCATCTCTCAAATTAGCAGTCTTAACCTTTTGTCTTTTTTTTATGTCCGTTTCAGTATTTCCAATCAGGATCATTCTATATGGATCAATGGCCAAACCGGCCATCAAAATGTCGAGGTTAATAACAGAGTTTAAGGTCAAACCTGCTTTATGCTTTCGCAGATTCTGTGGTGTTGAATATAAATCTGTTATGTACCAAGAAGGCCTATGTGTTTTATTTATTTATTTAGTTGTATCACCTTGCCCAAACTGCAAAATAGGCATACATGATGAAACTACAAATATTTTTCAAATGTTAGCTCATGTAATCTAATCACATCTGTCAGAATGCGGTTGGTCTGGTTACATTGCACTTACATGGTTGTCAGAGGAATGTCGAGTATGAGCTGCAGTTTCTTAACTATAAAATAAATACTCAAACTACTTCCATATTTTTTACTGTTTCCACTAAGACGTAGCAGTTAATCTCTGCGTGTATTGCAAATTAACACATATTCCGTACTCGACATATTCCCATATAAACTCTCAATACTATAAAAGCGTGACCATTACCCGTGTGTGAGTGAAGAGTGGGCGGGTCGGAGGCGCGAGGCAGCGCTTTGTCAGAGTCTTTGTCAGCACTTCACCTGCTGTAGTTTCCACACGGGACATAAAACAAGCCCAATGGCTGAACAGGTAAGCTTTTCTTTTTGTTGTATTTAAATAGTTTATGGTTTAGATTAGTTTACTTACATGATCCACCTGTAGCTAGGCCTAAATTTCACTTTATCATTTTATTTTTCGTCATCATTTCCCTTCTATGGAGGACGAAACCTGCAAAAAACCATAAATAACTAAATACACACACACAAAAAAAATGTGTGCATAAATACACGTATTCGTGTTTAAATACATAAATAAGTAATTAAACGTGATGAAAGTAGGCAAATAAATTGGTGGGCAAATGGAAAATGTT